TTTTGGGGGGGGAGGGCTGGGGGAGGGTGTAAAAAAACAGAACATCTGTCAATAAGAGTGTCAGGAGGGGGGGTGTTAAATATTTTAACCACTGACAAGGCTTGAGGAAGTTTCACAGTTTTGTTATGCTCTATTTTATTACTATCATATTTACAGATTTTTTTTTCTCTCTCTTTTTTTTTGTGGTTTTTTTGTTTTTTTTTTTTTTTTGCTGAATTGCTGATAATTTTAATAGAATTTAAATCTGGAGTGTGAGCAGGAACCAGTTAACTACATTCATTGTCCAATCCCCATTGGTTTGAGAAAAAGACTCCAAATTCTTGGCATATGAATCAGCTGTTGGGTAGGTCCTCCCTCTCCCCATGAGGCGGCAGCAGGACTGCAGCAGTGGCATGCAAGAGATTCACACCATGGCTGGCGGGGCCTTGCGCTGCAGAAAATATTGGTGGATGTTCTCGGCGTCTCGTTTCAGCCAAGCTGCATTCAGCAGAATATTTTCACAGCACTGCTGGACAGTGCGTTCTGCAGATGGAGCTGGGTGACTCTCAAAGAAGGCCTGTGTAAAAAGCACACAACCATCCATAAGGGTATAAACAAGGATAGATAAGGATTATATTTTGAAGTCACCAAAGGTTATAGAAATGCCGTTGTGAATTATGTCCCTTGTCTGACTATACAGTTGATGCTCTCTGCTCCCACCTTGGCAAAAGTTTGTTGAGATGGGAAGACTTGTAATTCCAAGTATAGAGCAGGAACAGCAAAAAGCCTCCATTTCTCTGCTAGGGGAAAAGCACAGCAGTGTTTCCACGAACTGGCCCAAGCGCTGCCTCCTGTCCTGTCTTGTCCTCGCTGTCCCTGACAAGCAGCACTTGAAGAGATGAATTCACAGTCCCTTCATCAGGAGGCAACAAACAAGCAGCACATCAAGTGTGTATTTCTGGCTACTTGGAAGAAGACACTAACGGAAGCCTAAGGCCATTTTGCAAAAGCATTTATCTACATATCAGATTTCTTAGCATTCTCCCCAGGCCTCTTTCCAAGCTGCCTAACGACCTCCCAGCACCAGCAGCACTCAAAGAGTTTTGCTGAATAGTCTCACATTTCTTCCTCCAGAATCAACAAGATCAATCCCTTGTGAATAGTTGGAGAAACTGCCCCAGAGGCTGCTGAGGCTTTGCAAGTTACAAATGGTTAAAGGGCAGAATAAGGTGGCACAGCCGGGAGTCATCCCCCATCTCCACACAAACAGGCTTTCCCCAGTACTTGGCAAATCACCTCACACTGATGTTTACACTACAAGGTGACATCAAGACTCAGACACATTAAATACTCCAGCTAAAAGCTAGGTATAGTGTCTCAGGAAGTTCTCTTGGGAAGTAGTTATGATTTAGTTACGGATGATTGTTCTGGTAAATGTTTTGGAAAGTGTTCTTCAAGAAAAAAAATAACCATAGTACAAAATTTCTCTGTAAAATCACTTAAGCTACTAAATCTTTTCTAAGAAGAGATCACTAGGTGATAAAAAAGGATAGACAGAGCTCATGGTTCAGCGTATCTTTGAAATAAGAATTCCTCCTGAGCGTTTTCCTAACAGGAAAGTAGTAATTAAGGGCCAAATTTTAAAGTTTCTTCTTCCAAGAAGGAGTCCCTGTAAAAGTGTGAGCAAAGAGTAAATAATAAAACCTAGAAACATTTCTTAAAATGCACCTACAGTCCCAAATCAGAGGGGATACCCGAGTCTAGTAATCACATCACCTTGAGCCACCAACTTCAAGACAGACTCTCTGCAAACACATTAACCTGCCTGGTGTCAAAGCCTTGCTCTGAGAACACAGCACAACCAACCACGTTTGGGGACCTATCGCATGGAATTGAGCCAATTTCTGCCACCTTAATTCCCCCAGGAGTTCCCCAAATGTGCCACATCAGTGTGGGGAGGATCAAAGTGCTGATGGAAGCCTCAGGTTACTAGGGAAGTTGTAACAACTGCAAATTTTGCCACAATTAATTATCTTTACAGGTTTTCTTTTGGGGAGTCTCAAAAATCACTGCCACAAACTGTGCTGGATTTTCTAGAAGTTTAAAGGAGTGAAGCTAATGAAACAGAAGTCACTAGAAGTTGCACATTACTTTGTGAAAATGCTAATTTAAGACATTTCAATAAAATAACTCCACCTAAAGCAGTGCAATTTGGGGACTAGGCAACAGTCAAAATAGAGGCAGAGCCATGGTTCAAAAACAAAACCACACAGAAACTCAGGGCTCTCCCATCAGGTTCTTACAGCCTAGAGCACACAGTGTGTGTCACAGAGGAAGTTAATCACCTCTTTAATTAAAATGTCTTACCTTAACTTCTGCGGCCATTTTATCATTTGCAAATCCATCCACTGTTAGCTGAAGGGAAAAAAATGTATTAACCAAGGGTAAGCACTTAGCATTTCAAATATAACAGTTGAGTTTTGGTTGTGTATGTGATCAGGACTTTGCTCACAGCTGCACATACCTTTATTAGTCTGGATATTAAGAATCCACCTTGGTATCGATTATAAAGTTCCTCCCAATTGTCCCTTACAAATTTCCAAGCAGCTTTCCTCCCCTGCTTGCTGCCTCCAGCTACTCCACCAATAACAGATACCGTGTCCTGGGGACGTACCTCTTCCTGAGGATGAAAATGTAGACAAATGATCAAGAAATACAGCGTGTTGGCTTTATATATTTTTATGCTGACTTTGCTTTATGCATTTTTACACTGAATCTGTCAATGATAGCTTCCCCCCCCCTCCCCAACTTTAAAATACAACTCAAAGATTTAATCATTAAGACTATTCCTCCTATTCTAGCTCATTACATGCACACAGTGCTCTGTCACCAAGTGCTCTGAACGCACTTGTCATTCTCACCAGGTAAGGGAAGGGGCAGCTTTTCCAATAACTTACTGAAAGTGCAAAGGTGAGAACTTTTTGAATCAGTTCTGGTTGAGAGATGGCTCCAAGAACTCGTTCAATTCGGTTCTTCTCCTCCTGCATGTCTGCTTGCTTGTGAAGCTTCAAAGCCAAAGTGAAGAGTATTAGCACACGGTATTAAACGCCAACTTCTTACCTAGCGCTGCTGCTGAGCGTGCTGCGTGCTCTAGAGCTGCTAGATTAGTCTTCAAGCCTAATATGTGCCAAATTGAACTTGTTCATCAATCATCCTGCAGTTATCCACATTATGGACCTCATTCCACATCCTGTTAGTAATAAACTGATCTTCACCACTGTTTATAGAAGGTCAAGTAGGACCCGTGCCTCCAAGCAATGAAAAATCATCCTAAAAATGAGATGCAACAATCCACTAGGTGGCAATTGCACACTACACAGGGACCAAGGGACACCAGCACGAAGCCCTGAGTGTTCACATCATCCAAAAAACATCAGATTGAGCCTGTGTGCAGATAAACTACATCCTAGAGGAACTCAGAGGGTGGAATATTTAGCTTTTCATCGCATAAGCTGGCAGTGTTAAGGACAGAGCGTGCACTCACCTTCAGCATAGTGTCTAAAGTAGTACTATCTCCATGCTTCAAAATAGTTACATATACCTAAGATAGAGCATAAACAAGGAAGGTCCTTCAAAAACCACACTCTTAGAAATGCAACAATTAATTTCTACATATTTGGGTTAGATTTCAGACAACTGAACAGATCTGTAAGATACCAGCACTGATCCCTTCTATATTTTAAGACTGGATTTTAAAGATTCATCAACTCCTTTACCTCTTCCTCAATCTCAGCATCATTTTGGTAATTTCAGCTGCAGCAAAACATCAGAAAAAGAAATCTTTGTACCACACCACAGCTAGCTAGTAACTTCACACACACTCAATCCATATCCACCACAGTTATGACTTTGTGCTCTGCAGAGCTCTTCCACGCTCCCTGCAAGTTCACCATAGTGCTTTTAAACCTGGTCATGGATGGATGTAAATGAGTTGAAGTCAGCTCAGGTTCAGCACTGCACTTGGAATAGTCTTCAAAACCCAAAAAGCAACACAATCTAGAGACCAGAGTTGTTCTGTGGCAGTCAATGTGGGTACAGCTGAGCTTGTTAGTTATGACCAATGTATTGGCCATGACAGAGGAGGTTTATTGGATTCTAGAAACACAGAGATGTTTGTACCATGCTCTCCAGTATAATTTTCTTCATAACTGGACTTATCCAAGCTCCCACCAATTCTGCAAAACCAGTTGGTCTCAGACATTGACACTGGTTTCCTCTACCTTCCCTATTCTTGGAAATACAGGAGTTCAGTTTACACAGTGCTAAGTGAGTGGGGACAGTCTTTTGGGAACCAAAATTTAGAGTAACCTACAGGACTCCTCAGATCAGCTGACAGAATATGTTTTCCTTCCACATGGTCCTTAAATCGACGTCTGGCTTCTTCTAACGTTGCCTTGTGCCCAGCTTTTCCTAGTTTGCCCAAGACCAGACCTCTCAGAAGGGCATCTAGGTGACCTGATGAGTGAGTAGAAGGAAAAAGAATAAATTATTTGGAGCCACAATTAAATGTTCTTCCATCTAAAGTGACGAGGGCAGAGCTGTATAACAATCCTTCCACATGCTTGAGGATATCTAAAGAAACTAGGCCTTTTCTCACTCTCCTGGTGCCAACTGGAGAACATACTGATTTTGTTTTTAAGGCAAGAAGGTCAGGAAAAGGTGATTCCAGCCCAAACACAACAATAGGCTAGGGCTGGAACCTGAGCTGAGTCAGTAATGTTAACTATTTGCATCTACAACAGGACTGACTAGGACAAGTAAACATGCATGCACATGGCTTTCCATCCTTGTAGTCTAATAAGTTTCATGTACTCCAATAGATACAAAGTTAAAGCAGAGAATTTTTATCAGTCAGTGACCAGGTGGGGGAAAGTTTTACCATTTTAACTTGTGCCTGATAACAGAGGGTTGTTCTGGGATTTTGTGTTTGTCTGTTTTCAAGTATAAATAATACTGAATGCCTACTTCAGACTCTTCTTCCTCCCTTTGCTCCCCTTTCCCAAAATATTGATGGCTTATTTACATGTGTGTTTTCCAAAACCACTATTGAATTTCACAGTGTAAGTTTCCTACCCTCTCCAGGTTTGGGGTCCCATCCCAGTCTCTCCCCTATTGGTGAAAAGACATCTTTCACGAACACCTGGATTTCCTCATAGAAGTCTGTGTGGGACAAGAGAGTTGAGAGAATCCCCAGGTTACAGCTGAGGTCGCTCCACACAGTATAATTGGGCTCATTCACAAAAGCTTCCATGACTTTTAGAACCTCTACAGTGCTAATGATTCCAGCTCGGGCCTGGGAGAGGAAAAGACACAGATTAATCTTACTTCCAAACAGAATTAAGACATTTAATAGCTCATCACATTATTTTAACAGTCTTTCCTGTTCAATTTGCACAGCCTGCATATAAACTCTGGTTTCTGTGTTGTGGGGTTCTGCCAAGGTGAGTTAACACCAGTCAAAGCACCTTCTCTGTCTGCTTGTGGCACACAATGCTTTTTATACACAGGTAAGCACTTTACTAAGGAAACAGCTATATAATTATAGCACATTTTGCAAACAAGAAACAGACAAGGAGATTAAATGACTTCACAAAATTGCAGCAATGCTGGCAAGAAAAAGCAAACCCCCAGAGTTATTCTCAGCCAGATACTACACCCACCAAAAATCTTATTTTAACTAAAAACTGTAAAGATTTAGAGATTCCAATTTTGTTTTTCATTAAATTAAGAACATAAAGCTGCAGAAGTCATTTTTGCTTCCTGTTTCCCTTGAATTAATACAAGAAATACTGCCATTCCACCTCTGCCAGGAAAATTTTATATTAACTGCTTCACAGCATCATCCAAACACTTGTATGCTTAGTGCAGCTGCTAATACCTACAGTAGGTATCTCCAACCAGATTGCTCAGATTTTTGTTAATCTGGAACCAGACCAGTAATTTATGGTACTGGAAAAGAGGTGAAAAATCAATTTTTAATTATGTAAGCTATATTCAGCTATGATAAAAACATGATTATAACTGAAACCAAAATAGAAGTCTTAACACAATGTGCCTACGTGTATTATTTCCTCAATTTTTTTGTCCCATTACCCTTGCAATATTCAGGAAATGACTCAGGCTACACTTTCAAACCCCTTCCACTAAACCATGACAAGAGTCACAAGAGTTGAAGCTAGACAGGCAGGGTATCAAACCCACATTTTTTTAAAGTTTTCATAAACTTGCTGACTAGCAAGAATAAGAAAGTACAGTGTGAAATGCAGAGGACAGTAACTAATAGTTCAGAGCTGGCAACAGCTGCTTTGGGGGTAATCCCTTGCTTTTAAACAGTAAAAATCCCCCAACAGTCACCTCCTCCAGTAGAGGACAGTTATAATAAGCCCAACTGAACACAGCACACAGTGCTGAAAATATTTGATAAAGTCGTTGAGGGGATCATTAAAATATCCTTATTTTGATGAGTTAAAAGAAAGCAAGTTCTCCAAACAATTTAAAAACAAAACAAACCAAAAAACCTCAATAAAAAACACTGTCGTAGAATACACCCCTACAGAGAACAGGGCAACAGGAGTTACAGGCAGACTGCTTCCATAGGGTTTAAAATCTTATAATACAAGTTAGAACTTGTCAAGCTAATTAATAGCTAGATGTATGCAGTAATCTCAAAGGCACTTTGCCTCCAGAAATGGAGTCTGACTCTTCAGACACTGATTTCTGTAGTTACTGTAGGTCTCATTATTAAGAGAGAATAACAAAAGGGTTGCTTACCAGTGAGAAAAGATCATTCTGCAGGCCAAGCCTGTCCACAGGGGGTAGGGAGAGGTCTTTGATCGCTGGTATTAAACTCTCCAGCATGTCAGGGCTATACTGAGTACGGTAAAACCCAACTGTTCCAAGGTTTAACTGAAAAGTACCAAAAAAGAGTAAAAAAAATTAAAAGTAAGGAACAAATAAGGAAATGCTTTTTAATTTTTGCATCACTAGAAATTTCTCAAAGCATTGCAGAGAAGCCAGTCACTATAATTTCAATGAAAAGAAAAAGCTAATCCTAAGTAAGGGATAAAGATGGAAGAATTCAAAGAAGAAATGCTCACTATGAGGTATAGAAGAGGAGAAAGAGCTGGCACAGGAGCAGAGTTAAAACTAGGAGCAAGGAGAAAAGAGAAACTTCTCTTCTAGGGGTAAATCCTAACTGAACTAAGGGTAGTTATGCACCAAGATGATAAAATGCAGGAGACTGCAGGTGGTTAAATCTCATCTCTTGTAACCTCTCTCCCACAACCTGCTCCATTCAATTCTGATAGAACCTTTTTGTTAGGAAAGGAGACAAAGCACCTTTGCCCAGTGTAACAGCACGTCATGGACAGTAACCCTGAATGAACACTAGCTACAGGCTGCTACCTACCAGCATTTTAGTGTAGATGGTCAAATATTGTGGGTGGTTGAACAATAGTACCTGACATTAACCAAAAGCATTGCTGAGCTCAACAGGAAGTCACCCCCTCTGCTGCTGCTGTGATTTTGGTCAGTCCAATTACCAGTCCTCAGGACTGTGGCACTAACTAAAAACCTCAGACTGACAGTCCTGGATTTGTCCTGCAATTTGGACAAATTCACCTTGGACTGAGCTGGACTGTTGTTGTCTCAAGCAGAAATATCAAACTTCAGCCTCCTTTCGACAGGGCATTTTCAGAATTGTTCATTTCATTCCCCTCTTTATTATCAGGGAGGACTCATAGATATGGTGATTCATTCCAGGCCTGACAGCTGGAATGTCCATCTTCATTAAATGGGGAGATTTGATTAATATTCAGAGAGTCTAACCCTAAATATTATTTCATGGAGTCACCTCTCAGATTAGAGCTCCAGCTTAGAAACAATTACTCTTCAACCTCAGTAGGTCCTATAGCAACAGTCCCAGTGAGTTGCTGTCTTTCAATGTTTAAATTCACTTTGACTGGTGTCTGTAGCAGACGTCAAGAGGGAATTTTTTCACTCACAGATTTGTACTTGTCTGGCAACAGCCAGTAGAAAACCTTCACACTTAATGAAAGATAAACAGGAATATTTTTGCTTGGGATGGACTTTAACTAAACTGTGGTTGCCATGGGATACCAAAAAAGCCACCACATTTCAACTCAAAAGCTGCCTCTAATTGCACACTGTTTTTTCCGGGCTCAGAGTCCTAAAAGGTTCAAGTTTACATTGTCTAGACTACTCTTGGAAGGCAAATGACTACACTAAGCCAGCATTACAGAGAGGAGCCAATATTCAATAGCAGCACAGAGAGGCCCCTCCATAAGAAATACAAGATTGCAAGGGGACATTAAAAAAAAATACAGAAGAGGAAAATTAAGTGCCAGGGAACATTACAGTGACTATCAAACTTATTTTCAGCAATATGTTCTCCTTTAGGACAACTCACCTTCACCCACTGGTCTGGTTTGACGTCTTTCAAAACCACGGTGAGCTCTGGTTTGTCCATCAATATTTGCATTTTGGCACGGGTGGGGTCATCACTCGTACAAATACTTATAGGGACCATCCACATGGGGAAATCCTCCCCTAAAAGAAGAAAGAATAAAAAGGAAAGCCTAAGGAAAAAAAGGAATGCACACACAACACTGAGAAACTCTGCCTGATGGTCAAACAAGTTTTAGCAGCAGTTTAAGCAAGGCTATTTAAATTTAAATCTAAAAAGGCACAAATCTGAAGGAAAACGACAGTTCTAGAGTTAAAAACCAAGAATCTCTAAATCATCTTTCAAGCCAAATATTTTAATTCCTATAAGCATGGAAGATGGGTGGAATTTGTGTCTTAAGACAGAGCTGGCTTCCATATGAGGCATCTTTATTTCAGCACTGTTATAAAACCAGTAGCTTACAGAGCTCCTCAAATGGCAGCACTGGTTTTAAACTGGACATCAGAAAAGAAGCATCTTGGAATGAAAACTGAACCAAAGACTGCAAGGAATGCTGTTCTCCATGCAAGGAGGACACAGAAACCACACGTGTGAGAGCATTCAACCTTTTTTTAAACTGGACATCAGAAAAGAAGCATCTTAGAATGAAAACTGAACCAAAGACTGAAAGGAATGCTGTTCTCCATGCAAGGAGGACATAGAAACCACACGTGTGAGAGCATTCAACCTTCGATTTTCTGAAGTTTTAACAAATACTCAAACACCTGAATCCAAGCAGCGCATCTGCCTGCTCTGCAGCGCAGCTCTTTCACCTCTCAAAATTGTTGCTA